GTTGCGATATGTCCAGTTTTTCCAAAAAAAAAAAACAGGAGATCAATTGCTCGGAAATGCTTGGAGCGCGGACAGCTTCTGTTGGATTTGGTGGCTAAGGTTGCCTCAATCTCACGATAGGTCGCATGACGATCTTGCAGTATTAGTTTGTGCACAGCATGAGCCGTTTCCGGAACGACAACTGATTTTGGACGACCTCCACGAAATTTGTCTTCGAGTGAACTACGACCTCGTGTGAACTCGCTGTACCATCGATAAACACTGGTCCTGGATGGAGCCTCATCCCCAAAAGTTGAACTGAGTTCATCCATGCATTGCTGTTGAGTTAGTCCACGTCGAAAGTTGTAGAAAATACTCGCGCGAAAATGCTCACGATTCAACTCCGTAACTTGGCCGAAACAAAATCATATAACTTAGTGTAAACAACACAAATTGCGCTCAAGTATCGCAACGGAACCTCAAAATAGTCAAATTTTACGATAGTTGTGTCAGTTGCTAGGTTGCTACACTAGTGTTTCCAAATCCTGAAATATAAAAGGCAACCCTCGTAACATCGACGTCATTAAGGTGAAACTTTTCATATGAGATGATGTGTTCAAAGTAATTTTGGAACCGCCTTCTAAGTGATTCCCAGACATCCGCAAAGGCTTCTATAATTGCTAATAACCGTGAATAATCGTTGGCATGATAAGAATGAGCAAGCTTTCTCTAATTCCATTCCGTTCTGTTCGTGAAATTCAACCTGTTTCAGCTGTTCTACCAGGACAAATCCTGGCGCTGTAATAACCTATGATGAATGATACGCTTACAGGTTCAATTCATTGTAGCCTAATGTCGGTGCGTAGGTACGCGTAATCGCTAGCGTCCAATTCTGGTTGTCATACTTCCGTACGTGGTAGAATGCGGAGATGTTCTTACTGCCGACACCTTTGCTGTCGCATTTTTGCAGGAGAGTTCTTCTTCCATATTTTCCCCATATTTCAGACTCTGTGCATTCCTTGCATTACCGTGCAGAAGTTTGACGAGCCGACTGTAATCTTCATCGGCATTGCCACTATCGGATTCCTCCCACAGACCCGCGATTAAAGTGAAGTGGTCCCAGAAGCCTTAGGGCTTCGTTTTCTAGAATTCGCAGCTCTCTTCCACGCTCTGAAAAACATAAGGGGATGACTGTCTGTAGAACTTGGGAACAGCAGCGACGTCAATCAAACAAAACGTTCAACTGAACATGATGTGACGTATTTTATTATGGATCTGTCCATCAGGCGTCTCCCAAATCATTCGCAAATGAGAGGGTTTCTGGGACTGTCGATTACCGTGGATGGCGGGGATCGACATGATAATTTCGGAGCCTTTCATCCTGCTCATTCCACTCTATTCCTTAAGTCCCGATGCGAAGCTCTTCTGGAGCCAACCTTGGCGTTCAAATCACGGACGATGACCCATGAGAAAATTATGACCTTTGTAGAGTCTCTTCAGACTCTCACACTTTTTCGCAGCCTGATGTTGGTGTGTAGCCACATCTTCTTAATCGCAACTATCCGATTCGGGTTGTCAAGCTTTCGTACGGAGTGATGTTCATGGTCAAGTGCGCGTTAACGAGGACGTCTATACCGCCGACGCCTCTGCGGTCGCATGCTCCAGGGAACAGTTTTTCTCTAGACTCAAAGAAGGAGTGCAACGCATTCTCGACTCGGCCAGTTCGATGACATTGTACTACTTGGCCTTTCTAGCTTGCATAATCAGAGCTTCAAATGCAGGCGTTCTTTCATCGAGAAAACAAAAGTCATCTTACGTTAGTCCACCGTGCAGCTTCTCAGTGTTGAGAGTTCAGAAGCCTCTCCCGAGCGATATTGTCCAACCCACCTCATTGGGTGCTTCTGCAGATCCAGAGGAATGTAACCTATTCATATCATTGTTTTTGCGTGCGGATACCCGCTGGCGGTTGTGGTTTGGTGACTGGGACCTTACCAGGCTCTAATGTGAAGGCCGGATAGACTGCGAGCAAAAAATAGATCACTAAAATAGACAGAACTTATCCGTTAGAATACATACTCAAGTTCAAGGTTCTGACTGAGCTTGTGTGCTTCATTGGATACCGCCTGCGAAGGAACAGAAGGTACGTAATATCTGTTCTTCGTCGCAGGCCCAGGGAGTACATCCTTTGGATCCACCTGCTCTTCTTTGAAGTACCGATAGCTGTGACAGGCAATTTTCTCCTATCCTGCCGATTGATGGAGTGGTGGAGAAGTCTCCACCAATCAGCGGTCATCTTCTCGAGATGCAAAGTATATTCAATATGCATATTAGAAAACCCAATTGAGTTCTAGAAAAGCCAGTAGCGTTCTCCAGCGAAAGCAGACCTTACAGGTCTGATATAAAAATAAAAAGAAATCATAAAGAAAGAATACATATATATATATGAAGCTAAGCAAAAGTTATTCAACTACATGCAGGTATGATCCTCGAACTATTTGGACCAATTGCACCTCGTTATTTACCATCCGTGACCAAGCGAACTGCGGTGAGCAATTTTGGTTAAAGATCACAAGATGCTTAAGATAGCATGATTTTTTAAGGCTCGTGCTGGGCTATCTCAACAGCAGCTGCAATTTCGGATCGTATCTGCATTGCGACCAAAGCAGAAAAGCAGGTGCACTCTAGTCTGTAGTGTTGTAACTCACTTACAATTTGACAACTAAAACTTCAGGTTAATATCTCTGCCACCGACATTATTGCATGTTGCTCGTACTGCGGTGCCGGGTACGATGACAGAGTTGCTTTTGATTTTCAAAAGCATGAAATAGAACCCAAAACTTATTTCTTCGATGAGTCCTATTTTCCGGTTCAGATGTCAAGGAGGGTGGGTTCTCGACGCCTGGAGGTTTTTCGTTGATGACGGCATTGTCTCCGGAGGGAATTACAACAATAAGGTACTGTAGTTACAAAATTTGCGTTGATTGGCAAAAAAATATAGCGGTAGAATCGTTAGGATGGTTGTCGCCCTTACCCATATCATCCATGTGGACATCATGGCAATGAAACCTATTATGGAAAATGTAATGGAACGGCACCCAACCCACAATGCAGGAAGACCTGCATAGCTGGAGTAAGGAAACAATACAGAGTGGACAAGAGATACGGTGAGCGAAAATCGCCTGAAATGAAAAGAAATTCTCGATCCTGATCTTGAAGCAAAATAAAACTCCCTAATTGTTATGAATAATCGCGAAGGTTGCAGTAGACAGCGAGTAGTATACGCAGGATTGCTACACAAGATTGGAGGCCAGTATCTCACTACACTAGAAGCTAAGTGAGGTGGAGTTTTGCAAGACTACATAGATATTCGTACCTTCGCACCTACTCTATATATAACACCTGGATCGCACTACCTACTGCGAAGAATAACTGTAACTACCTTTGATAATGAAGGAAAACATCTGAATGCTATGCACAAAACAGAGTAACATCGCGCTATTCAGTTTAACTTACCAGAAGCATCTTAAGGCGAGCGGTCACTTTAAATAGTTCTACTACATGTATTTTTGGATACTGATCTCGAGTCTGCTTTCTAATTTATTGCACATTTATTCTAACTGGGTGAAATTGTGATTTTGGAGAGCACTTAGTATGAGCAAACGTAAAAATAGGGAAGTTGAATTCTGAGTAGTAGCTTGGAGCACTAGTAAGAGTGGCGCTTTTTGTGCAGAAGATCGTGCTTAGGTCTCGTGGGTATACGGGTTTTTGCATTTCATAGGGTTTTTTTTCTTGATACTTGAATGTACTTTTTATGTTGATTTCACAGCATTTTACGTCCTTTCAGTGCCCAAGATGGTCTTTTTCTACCTGAGTCGTAGAATATCGCTTCAATTTCTTTCAGCATTTATACATTGCATTGGAATAAGGAATAGCCTAGACCAACCAAGCCTCCCATATATCCGGGGTCAGAGAATAGGTACCAGACTCGTCTGGGAGGATAAAAGCACTGACTTGTACATCGGCTGACCAGCGCAAGTCATTGTATAGGTCACACTCATGCACTCATTAGGCCGCTACGATTCTGAACGGAAGTCGAGTGCGGGGGCGCGCATCTCTCAGACCGGATTGATTAACCCCAGAAACTTTATCCTTCATCCTTAATTAGAGGGAGGATGACTTCCACCATCTATGAACAAATAGGATGTTCTAGTACATATTGTTCAAAAATAAAGGCTTTTTACAGTGAGAGCAAATAATAAGAAGAATTCGTTATCCCGTTGCTTCACCCACCACCCACCTAACTAACAGGAAACGGAACTAATAAGTACCACAATATTAAAGCTCAAGTACTTAGATACTTAGACGACCCGACCATCAGCACGGCGGTTGGCCTCGCGTGGGTCCCAACTTCTTTTCCATTGTTCTCGATCTTGAGCTCTGGTTGTCCATTGCGTAAACTGCGTGCGTAATCTGAAGGACTCCGGATCATAGACGTTGTTTCGATAAGCTAGAGAATCTGCCCACCGTGAAGGAAGACGGCCATGCGGCCGCTTCTTCTCTCGCGGGCACCACCGTATAGTGGCCGAGCTCCATGGTCACTCCTCTCTTCTCATTAGGTGTCCGGCAAATCTGTGCTTCGCTTCATCGACGTGAACGAGAACGTGTTTAACTTTCGACATTGCTCTGATGTCGGAATCTTGAAGTTTGTGCTCTCGTTGCCGACTCAGTGTTAGACTCAAAAGACGACGTTCAATCGAAACCTGGGAGGACCTTCAATGTCTTTTCAGTGACTTCGTCAGAGCCCAGATTTCTCCCGCATAGCTGAAGGCAGGCTCACCGTTGAATTAAGTAAGTCTGTTCGAAGTTTGCAGTCCCTGGTGTCCTCTAGTACGCATCTTATGGAGTTAATTGCTGCCCATCCAGCCTTGCGACGTCTTGCTAACTCTCCACTTAAGCCGTTCCTCATGTTAAGCTGGCTTACAAACTCGTCGAC